CTAGCGAGTTGGCATGCTATATATTCCGGCGCCTTATGCTTGAGGGGCTACGTAAAACAATCCCTTGGGCATTTTTCTTTAGTGCCCTCGGTCTTGAGTTTTCCAGCGACACCCCTATAGCTAAATGGCTAGGGGGCAGACGCCCATGAGCACCATCGTCGGTGCGCTAGATACCTTGCTAGACGTTGCCGACAGCAACCCCGAGAGATTGGAAAAGCTGCTATCTCGACGCGACCATGCTAGGGTCCGTCTGCTAAGGCGAGTGGGCCTTTGTGCGAGAGAACGACAGGCCGCTGGATAGATATGATGAGGGTGCTCCGGACCCTGTCGAGCACCGTCAATGGCGCAGCCAGAACAAGCTGCCGGCTACTCCGATAGAGGTTTTGGGGGATCCCCCAACCACTGCTACGCCGATACAAGTCAAGGCACCATCCGCGCCAAGCACTTTCGCGAGACGGGTGAGATTGACAGGTACCTTGCCAACAAGGGTAGCAAGAACGACTACTCCAAGGATGGCAAGGACAGTGGCAAGAACATTGACCAGTGGTACCAACCATGGTAGGATCAAGGACCACCGCAGTGGCAGGAGCCCTGGAAACAACAGTCCCCATGTACATAGTACATGGTAATTTATACAAAGAAGCATTTAGCGAAGAATTGTGTACAGAGAATATTGCTCACCGCCGGCATTGTACCAAGAAGAGCTTTGTTCCAAGAATCTCTGCATGTGCCACGAAACTTTTGTGGCATGAAAATTGCCTCATGCTTTTGTGGCACTTAGTTAAACTAGGTAGCTTGAACTTCAGAGTAGGGGCCAAGTTTCACCCGTACATAGGAGGACTAGGACAGGTTCAGGCGGCAGAAGAGCCAAGAAGCCGAAAGGGAACCAAGCGCAAAAGAAAGAAGATGCCTGTAAGAAGAAAAGGGTTATAAGACCTGGTACCGGCCTCCAGGCAACTGTGTACACAGGAAGTAGTTGTACATAAGTGTTGTACAGAGAGGATCTTTTGCAGGATGGGTGAAGCAGCAAGAACTCTAAGCTCACCCAGTGTTGTGTAGATAGAAAGTTTGCAGAAGTCCCTTCAAAGTTTGTGTGTAGTGAGAACCCTTGAAGTAACTTCTGAGGAGGGGTGTTAATCTTACTACATCGTCCTAGCATGTACAGAGTAGCATGAATGGGGTTTGCGTGAAATGCCCAGTAGTAGCATGAGACAGCTTGGAACTGGAGTGCCTTTGAAGGCTTTGGGCCCAGACTTGAGGTGAGAAAAAGGGCACTGAGTTTATGTGTGCCATGTATTTTGCAGCGTTTTCAACAGAAACGGTGAACATCGTTGTTCAGAAGTTCCCTTTTCTCCGCAGCCTCCTGGCCGCTCCTAACGATCTGGGAATCACTATGGCCTGGAAAGCTTCATGCTCCGATGCCGTTGCCATGGCTGAGAGCACTGGTCACAACAGCTTTGGCGTGGGGGTGGATACGCCTTGCCCTGCTCCTCTTAATAGGCTTTTATATGCCTTGCTGAGGCCTTGCGAGCTCATTGCCTTGAAAGTCAGCGACTTCTTGATGGGTTCGGAGACTGGCTGCAGCAACGTCATTTTTATCAAGCTTCAGCTGATAAAATCGCGCACGCGCTGAGCAAAGATGCAAAGTGTCTGAGTAGACGTGCTCTACGTTGTGCCTTTTTCTTGTAAAGAAATGCTTCAAAACGATGATGCCAGACGAGAAGATGTGGTGCTTCTCCACGAGCCACTTTCGCACCTGTTTTCAGCGCACGTCGAGAGCCACGACTGACAAGCCAGCACTTTGTGTTCCAAGTTCTCTGCGACCAAGAGGTGCCACCTGTTGGTTTCGCCAATGGGCTGAAAACCTTCCCAAACTTCAATGGAAAGGCGGATGGCTCCATTTTAAAACCTTAGCTCATTATATTCAGGGCCTGAACAGTGTGGATGCCATCAGCCCTTCCTTCAAATCTAAAACGCCCGGCTTGTCTGAATTGTGTGAACCGGCCTGCAAAGGTGGTGGTGAGAGCAAATCTGGTATCTCAGATGCACCGAGTGCTCCTAGCGTGCACACAGCACGCTCCGCGTTGAGCTCTGCCTTGAAATCAATTCCAACTCTGAAGTCCCCCCCTCCCTCCTGAGTAGGAAGGTCGGGGCCCTTTGAGCCGTTAATTTATTGTAGAATCCTCTTGAAGCGCTGCTTTTTGAATAGCTAGTCATCTCAAAGCCTTTCGCCTCGCCGCCACCACCCCACCTTGGGGGTCTCGGGGCCCCTTGGGCCGTTGATCTTTTTGAGGCAAAGCTCAGCGCTGCAAGAAAGGCTTAGTGAGATGCACTGTGACGATACAATTGTCATGGTTTCTCTAAAAGGCTTACTGGAGCTCTGTCCTTTCGAACTCCCTGCGCTGCAGGGTGCCTGGGGTACAGCTGCGTGCCTCTCAAGCAGAGTGCAGTAAAGCAGGCTAACGGGGGTCTCTTTGCGTTATCGCGCTGCTCGAGTATAGACTCGCTAAAACCAATTCTTTTTTTGATCCTCAGATTTTGTCTTTGATCCTCAGATTTTGTTTTTGATCCTCAGATTTTGTTTCTGATCCTAATTTTTTTTTGAGCTTCCACCCTTCCCGGGTGGGTTGCAGGTTCCGGGCATTTTAGTCTTTCGTTGCTATTTGCCACTAGCAGTGATGGCTTCAGGAAAAAAACATGTGCGTTGGCGTGATGGGTATCGCTGGTGTTGCTAATCTTCGTGTGTTTGAAGCTTTTAGTAAACTGGAGGTTCTCAACTTCCAGTGCCATTTGGCTTACGAGCCCAACGTGGCACTCGAGTACCCGCCAGAGCTCTTCTGCCGACCAGGCGGCTTGTTGCATGCGTTGCTGTTCGCATTTTGATGCCGTTCTGCTGCAGTCTCGAAAAAGGTCCTGTGCCAGGGCGCGGCCGTTGGTCTTCGCGGGATGGCAAAGGCCAGTGCGCAACAGCTTGACTGCGCAGTCTGTTTATCAGTATTCCATGCGTGCTGGAGGGTTAGAGCCTGCCCAGTACTTGAAGTGCCGCAAACAGTACAATTGGTGCTTGGGCCCAAGAAAAATCGCACAGCTGGATTTGGCAGATGGGGGGCATTGATGAGAGGCCCCCGGCTTGGATTGTTGGATGGTAGCGCCTTGTGCTAAGCCGGACAGCGCTTCGTGGTGCTTTACCGCACTTGACCGCTATCTTGATCCGTCAGATCAGCAATGTGCGTGACAACCGCCAGGAGCTCAGCATAGCCCAGCATGGCTCAGGAAATTTGTTTTTGATCGGTGGTTCTTTGAGTGTGGTGCCAGGCCAGCTCGGCAGCACCGCAGAGCTCCGGTGCGACGCCGGGCTCCAGTGACCGCCTCATCCGCGGCTACCTGCAGCTTAATGTCTCTGTGTGTGTTGGTCACTGTGTGAGCGTGAATGGCGGGAGGATGACCTTTGGTGACTCCGTGCTTGGACTCGTGGCTTTGGAGGCTCTCGGCTTTCGCTTTGCGAGTTGCATCTTGCATCTTGGAAGTGTTATAGGTGAACTGTACGAGTGGCACCACGGCGGGGGGTGTTTGGATGGCCCCCGATGGTGGGCGAACCCAGTGACGCCTTGAGATGTTTTTGGGGTAGGTCCAGTCACGATATGTTGAGATGTGTCAGGCCGGGATGTGGCGGGACAGCTCCGCTGCAGTCCTTTGGACCATTGGTGCCCGCCATTGACCGGCTACACCATCGTGTGCAACCCTCGGCTTTCAACTCTTGGCGCACTGCTTCGAAGCCCGATGAGCTCTGAGGACGGCCACCTACCGAGAGCTCGAGCCGTTTGAGCGTATTGATCCGGCCTCAAAGGGAGGCAGTTCTCGATTTTCCTTCGCTGCCTGGGTCGCAGTCCCGGCTGCTCAGTGCTCCTTGGTGGGGCCAAGGTTGCTTACAGCAGCCCTACCCGTGCGTATCGCAGCACTGCCACCATCCGCTGCGCGGAGGATAAAAGTGAACTTACCGCAGAGTCCAAAGAATCTTTGCGAACAAACTGTGAGGATAAACGCATGCTGGACAGCTACGGCGACTCTGAGGCCATGAGCGTGAAGTATCAGCAGTTCGGAAGAAGTTGGTGTGAGTGAAGGTGGTCTGCGGGCTGGATGCAGAGGCCAAAGCACTGATGGCAGCGCTTCGCAGTGCTCGAAAGTTCGCCTTCAGGGCACTGGCGGGGCCTGGCGGAGCAAGCGAGGAATGTTGGCCATCACTAAGCCCCTCAGCAACGGCGAAAGCACAGCGACAGCCAGTTGCGAAGCTCTGAAACTTAAGGCACTGCTTCTACACCGGCTCCCCGATCACTGACACAGCCTTCATCGAGAACGGCTGCTTCTTCGGGAACTTCGCTGGGACTCTGGACAACTACTCCATTCCCGCCGGATGTCTGCAAGTCGTGCAAGTTCTGTTTCGGCAGATGTCCGTAAAAGAGTTTAGCCAGATTTAACGGGAGCAGAGGGCATTAAAAGCTGACGTAATTTCGGAGGGCAGTTGCCACTCCTTGCTCTGCTTCCACCGAGTTAACCAAGTGACGAAAGACTCATGTGCATGATTTGACTGTCTGAGCATGTACTCGCGTCAATGATACATATTCTGACTGCATTCGGGAATCTGCCTGTGTTCTTTCATAACATTCTTGTTTAGAGTTTAGAGCCTTCATGCGGAGCGTGTTAAACGCATCGCGCAGCCTTCCACTGATCTTGAGAGCTGCCACACCCGGGCTTATGCCACAGGAGACACGGTGACACATGGGGAGAGCATTGATGGTTCCTGTTGCCTGCAGAGGCGGCTCAGGATTTTCAAAGGATGTACAATCTCAGCAACACTGGCAACAAGATGCTTGGAGGCGGATAGGGAAAACCTAAGGGGCACGCGTGCGAGGACACTCTGAATAAGCTGCAGGTAGGGTAAGAATCCCAAGCTAAGTTTGAAGAAACGAGCCGTTCTTTGTTGGTTGTGTGGCGGTCTTCAGGTCTATTTCTTCCGCACTGGCGCCATCATCTTCTGGCATCAGCCCACCGAATGGCTTGTCGGCTCCACTATTTTGGAAGGTGACAATAGCCAGCCAGCCACTTACGGAGCCAAGCCACTTCTTGCTTTCGCTCTGTCTGCTTTCGCCCTGGTGCACCGCATCTGCGGCATGTTTAGGTGGCAACTGAAGTGGGTTGGAGAAGGTGTACTGAACGCAAAAGTGGACCATGGCGTGGGCGAGTTGCAGATGGACAGGGAAGACTGGCTTTTTGGTCACATCCCGTGTTGCCCCGCAACGTCCCTGCAGGATGTCACGCAAAATGCCACGAAGGGGCCTGGAGACTGGTTTCACATCGCCTTTGTTTGGGACTTGGGCGTGGGCTTGGCAGGCGGGTGCCAGATGGGTCGTATTGTCCCTCATGTAGTCCTTAATATTGGACCCTGTAGGAAATGTTGACTGTAGCTCATTTGTATTCAAGTTGTGTGTCTCCCCACGAGCTCACCACACGGAAAATGCCGCGGGATCATTTTGCTGAAGTTGACCAATGAAGTCATCAATGAGCACCCTTCTTGCTGTCGTCTTGCCGAGAGATGGCAGCTTCGATTGTGTAGTCCAGAAGATTTGCTGTAGTGGCAAGGTGAGTAAAGTGAAACAGCGCGTTCTGTGCAGGCCAGGGAAGGACCTATTTGTGGGTGGATGGCATCGAAGCGATGCCCGCGACCGACTTGGAAACAGAGAACTTAAGTAAATGCCTTTCTTGCTTGCCTCCTTTTTTTTGCCTTTTCTTGCTTTGGTGCTTTCCAGGCGGAGCTGAATTCCGAGAGGTTGACGCATTTCATTTGGGTGGATCCCGAAGAAGGGCCCAGCGCCTCAAAGTTTTGAGTGAATGCGAGTGAATGCGAGTTGTGCGAGTTGTGCGAGTTGTGCGGTTTGGGTTTCTTTCGCACTGCGAGGCTGGACCTGGGCGGCATCCGCAGCCCGATGAGCCCCGGGGAGTATAGCCCGCTGCCCTTGAAAAGGACTTTCCTCATCTCCTTTGCTTATATGTTCCTGAAAGGTAACATCCGAGTCTACACCCGTGCTTTGACCGCTGAACAGGTGCTAGACCAGCCAGCAGCTAGTTTTCTCAGCATTTCGTTCTTCGGCTCCTGCAGCATCCGGCAGGTGTATGAAATCTACAGCCAAGAGGTGGGAGTGATTCGAAAATGGTTCACCAGTGGCGCTGGTTGTCAACAGGACCCGACATGTGGCATGACGGATGACGTTTGCCCAACGCCTTGGTCCTACCGGTCGCCGCTTGGAATCAAAAGGCTGAGAGGCCTTGTCAGCACATCTTGGCAGAGCGTAGCCATTAAAACGAATCTGTAAGTTGTCTCCTCTGTGATTCGTGATGTGAAAGGTATGTCCGGGAAGTCACGAATCCCAACGACTTCCGCTATAAGCTTTTCCCCCGCCGCCCTGCCGCGGAGGCCAACAAAACCTCACAGCTACGGCATGGAATTCCGCATCCTTGTGCATCTAGACTCCCGGATCTTTGTTCTCTTTCCGGTACCTCCGAGGACCATTTCCAGGATCCGAAAACTAGACCAGAATCTTGGTACTTTCGGCTACCTTCTGAACTTGGAAATTTACGTCAAAGATCATAGATAGGCAGTGGCACAATATTGTTGTGATTTGTTTTGTTGAATTCCTCTGCGTGTTTGAATTGATTTTCCAGTTGCATGTCACAGTTCAGTCTCATGTGCAATCGCATGTTACAAACAATGACTTTGATTCCGCCGCAGCCCGCTGTAAAAAACTCTATTGCAAGGCTTAACGGTAGTTTGTTTGCATATCTGGAGATCCCCTCCCTGGATCTTTAGGTTATCATCCGTAGATTGTGGTTGGTAGACTTAGTTTGAAATGGGTACGCATGATGATGAAGAACTGATTCCTGCACTGGTTGATGGTGCAATGATCCCTATGACGTTATCAGAAGCTATGGCTTTGACAAGCTGGGTTGTCTACCCCTGGTCGTGTGGGATGGAGGCGTCTCGGGTCAAGCTAGGTTGTAGTTTGCTGACTTTGTACAGGTCCAATCACTTGCTGATGCGAAGGACCCATAGCGAGGCAGTGATCTGCCCGCACCAAGTGCATCCCTCTTCACTGTCATTTGATTGACCCACGAGGTATTTGGTTGCGGTCGTGCGTTGACGCATTTTTGGTCATTCCATTTGCTGTCAGTGCATGTGTTTTCGTATTGCAGTTGCAGTAACAATGTCGGTGTTACTGGCCGAAGCTGTATTGTTGAGAGGGCCAGGTGTTGGCCGCAGGGATTTGCCGTTCGTTCACGCACTATCCTCAGAGTAGAAAAGAGACTCCCAGGATTGCATTGTCAGGAGGAGCTGCAAAGGGCAGCCGACGTGTTGAGGGATCATCACTCAGCCAGTCAACAACCAGACACCATGGCAGCCAATCGGGAGCCATGGTGGTCTTCCAGTGCAAAAGACATTGCAAGCACTCTGCGATGCATTGCAATATGTGTGGGGGGCATTGGCAGCAGGCCGGTTACAGGGGGTGGGCAGTGGCAGGGCGGAGGATGGAGACAGGCCTAGGGAGAGAATGCCGGTGGCAGAGGCAAGGGCAAGTCTCATGTGCCGAAGCCCGGGATTTGCCACGAACCTCTCTGCAGAAATTGCCAGACAGCGCAAGGCGGTTTTTAGATTCCTGGGTGGCATATGTCTCTGGTGTCACCGAGATGTTCAAGGGGCAGGTGGAGGAGATGCAAGGGACGTTGGCGGATTTCAATCTAGCAGAGGAGGCATGGACCCACCATTACAGGAGGCCGCAACGAGCCTGGCAAAATCCAGCAGCTGTTGCGATCGAGTACCAGGTACGACAAGAGCATGGACGAGGAGGACGTCTCCATCAGCGAGGTGGCAGCGGAAGCTGCCAAACGGAAGGCGCAGACGGAAAGGATCACAAACAGTCAAAAGGTCGATGAACAGATGGACTGCGGTAGCAGAGGAGGTGAACTCTCAGAAGGCTGGCCGCTGAGCTTACGGGGACCCTGTCAGCTGTTTCAAACGTGGGAGTGTAGTATCCATGTTGAGGAAGATTATGTTAGTCCGTGGATGGCAGCTTGGTTTGGGCAATGTTGGAGGTTGCACCTTGTACTTGAGGAGCTGTTTGGCAAGGTTTTCCCACCGCTGGATCCGAGACTGATTTATGATGATGACGACTTTTCAAGCGAAAAGCAAACATGTCTTGGGGGACATGTTTTCGAAGGCTCCCTCCAGGAGTTTCCCATGGGCGATGATGGTGTAGGTGATAGTGCTAATTTTTCCTGTGCAGAGGGCAAGGATGGAGCGTGGGCTAGGGGAACGTGTGCAGTGCATCTTCCACGAAGTCATGTCACAGAGGACGCGCAGGTAGGGCATTGCCAGCGATGATGGGCGCGAGGTAGCGAACATGGGCATCCTAGAGGACGAAAAGACTCTT